GACAAAAGAAAGAAAAAGGACAAACACCCTAGTATCTCAGGATATTTGACATATTTTCAGTCTTTTTTCTATACTAAAAAAACAAAAAATTTAAGTAATTGGAAATATACTACATATTGTTGGGGTTTGAGCTTTTCACTTAATATTCTATCAACTCTTCTCCATGTCTTCAGATATTCTCTGCAGAAGTGTTTTTTCAGTGGCTGCGTAATGTTCCAGCACTGCCTGATCTCAAATCTACTTAGCCACTTGAAAATTTGTGGGCATTTAGGAATAAGCGGCTTTAAAAAAAGATTCTCATCAAATGGGATATAATTCCTAAGTATTCCTGTGTGTTAAGGATTGTCACTACGGTGTTGAAAAGTTCTGAGTCATGGGGCAGAAGGGTTGACCAGTTGACCACTGGATTCCTCTGTTCCACGAGCCCCTTGTGGCCCTCAGAAGGGAGTGAGTGGGGGCAACAGGTGTGGCGATACCCCATCCTGGGGCGTATGGCAGCCCTGTGTCACTGCTGTCCCCCAAGGCACCATATCAATTTCAAGCTTCATTGATGTTCAGGCAGCAAAGAGAAGATGCTAATTCAACATTTTACCAAATAGAAAACATTCCTAATTCAGCCAGACTTCCTTGACATGCTTTCCGGCTATTTAAAAGTGGTTGGTTAATTTTTTTAATTGACACGTAATGAAGAATGCAAAGAAATCTGTAAAATATCCAGAGTCCCTGTTGATCCAGCAGACGGCTTGGTCATCCCACGGGGCTGGAGCTGGCCAGGGAAGTTGTACCGGTTAAAACTAAGAAGCAGGTGGGAGTTGCCTATTCATGTAAAGGTTTTGAGCTTCAGGACAAAAGGAAGAGGCTGAAAGGAGAGAGACAGCATCTGGCCCCTTTCCCTTCGCTGCTTCCTTTAAAATGATGGAAATACTTGGATTCTGATTTCGATTCATTTCTGCCAAAAGTAATAAATAGAGGCTGAAATGTGCAGCTGATCCCAAATCTTTCCCAGGAAGGTGCGATGTTCCCAGATGCTTTCAGACCCCTTTGAGAAGACAGTTATGGTCATTTCTGGCAGGAAAACATTGTGAGCTGTCCCCAGTTGATTCGCGTAGGGAGATTTTTCTCACCCTAATACAGTCTGAGTGTTCCTGAACTCACCGTCGGCTCTTTTCAGCCCCTTCTCGGTCTTGTGGTTGGGTAGTGTTTCAGGCATCAGGCAGTGCTTGTGAGGATCAGAACCTTCCCGAGGGCCAGCACTGCGTTCTGTCCTTCTCTGCGTTAACATTAGACCAGCACAGCACCAGCCCGGCTTAGACCCCCATACATGTGAGCTGAGTAACGATTGCAGGCTGCTCTCCATGGAACTGTGGAACATGGAGAGGCTAAAAGAAGACTGGCTGATGTGTAGGTCATCTTATGAATAGCAAATAATGGAGACCTCTTCCCGTAGTTGGACGACCCTATACAACGTAGAAAGTCAGAGTTAGTGAATAAGCCAGATCAGAAGCTTCTGGTGGGCAGGCGTCCTCTCGCTATATCCTACAGAACCTAGCACACTGTTGGATATGTGTGCTCAGCAAAGGAGAAGTGGTTGAAATTGTTGTGAGTGAATGGATGAGTTACTTTATTAGTTTTCCTTTGTATGTCCAGTGGGCCTCAAGAACTGTACCAATGAAACGAATGGTGAGATTAACAGACACCAGGGAGAGCACTTTCATTCTGTCTCAGCCCACAGAGGGTGGCCGAGAGCATGGCCCTGGTCACCTGGAAGTCCTGGGTTCAAGTCTCAAGCCCTCCTCTCATTCCTGTGGTTGCCATATTGGACATGCCTCACTCTGAAGATCTCAGCTGCCCCCCACATCCACCTCTGAGAGCGGTCTCTGACTCATCCGCAGTGGCCTCCCTCCCTTAAGCTCCCTTAGCTCTACTGTAGATTTCACGCTGGTAATTGATCATATTCTACTTTTCCTTGTCTTAAGATGTCATGTAGGTCTATTTAAATGGACGCTTCCCACATTTCAATTCTGTTTCCCATTGGAGAGTGTGCCCGAGGGCTGTGGACAGCGCTCTGTTCTGCGGGTCAGAGGCTTTGGCTTTGAATTCTGGCACAAGCCACCCACCCCTCTGGGCCTCAGCCTGTCATATCTATAAGGTAAAAGGCTGTTGTGAGAATGGATGAGAACAAATATATGAAACCACCTTGTAAACTGTAAGGTGCCTTCTAGAAATTGGGCATCATTCTGATAGCCAGCGTCCCTAAGGACAGGGGCTATTTCTTTTGTGGCATGCACCACCCAGAACCGAGTGCAGGGCTGCCACACACATTTCAGTGCTTGGAAATGCAGCCTGGATCTCATCTCTGCTTTTGCTCAGGGCTGTGTTCCTGCCTTCCTTTGGAACTGGGAGCTATCTCTCCTTCCAGCTTCCAAATGCCCAGAGGTGCACCAAGTTCCAACCCAGACACCCTGATTTGTGGAGGATGCAAAGTAAATGATAAGGGTAGCTAACACTTGGCCGGGCGCTGTTCTTGGTACTTTGCATACACTAACTCCTTTATATTCACCACAGCCCTGGGAGGTAGGTGTGGCTCTTATCCCAGCTGACACAGGAGGACATGGGTGCAGAGAGGTGGAGTGGGCATTCTAAGGTCATGTAGCCTTAAGTGGCTGTGGCTAGGCTGAGACCCAGCAGTCTGGCCCCAGAGGTCACGTTCTTAACCACGCCTCATAGGCTCTCTAAGCTCCCCTGGGACTGGAGGCTTCAGTGGAGGCCACAGGGCTCACCTCCCCCACCCAATCCCTAGCGGAGGGACCCCCAGGGTCCTTCTCCTGCTAGGACCCCTCTCTGCTCCTGTGCTTTCCCCTTTCCCTCTCCAGTAGCTCCTCTGCCTCCCCTGCCTTCCTCCCCTGCCCTCGGCCTAAGCCAGGAGATGAGAGCAGCTGCCGGGACATTTGAATTCATTCGTGAAAGAACTCTGCCTCCGAAACCCTCTGATTTGGGTTTGTTGAGTGAAAACAGAGACCCAAACTGGCATAATATTGATGCCCAAATCATGTAATAGCGGCACAAAAAAGAATGATGTTCACATGACTTATGAGCATGGAAGCACAAACTCTAAATAACACATCAGCAAACTGCATCTAGCCATGTATAACAAACATAATACATCATGTCCAAGTAGCGTTCATCCCGGGAATGCAAATACGACTTAGCCCGAGAAAACAAGGCTCAGAGGGGGCAGCCGCTGAGATGTAGCCGGCCCAGGCTCAGTCCGGGGCTTGTGTGCGGCTCAGGTTGACTTTGTGCTACACCTGCTCCTAGGAGGGGCTGGTCACCGTCCCTCTTGCGTCCCCACCCCTCCTCCTTTACACAGCCGCAGAGTAAAGCCAGCCATTCCTTGCCTGCACTCCCTAATCCTCTCTCTCCGTTGTTCCTGCAGGACTCCATGTTTTCGTTGGCCCTGAAATGCCTTATCAGTCTGTCCACCATCATCCTTTTGGGCTTGATCATCGCCTACCACACACGTGAAGTCCAGGTAGGTGCCCCCACCTCACCCCTTCATACAGCAGCTGATCCTCTGACTTTGCTCTGAACTGAGCCCATCCCCACCCCCAAAACCCACTCCCTAAGCTGCTACTTGGGTGATTTTCCAAGATGGTGCCCAAGATCGTGGCTCTTCTCTTCTGGTTTGGACCCAAATGGGAGAGGAAACTGCGAGGCTGCCGTGTGGCTTTAGAATAACTCTGAAGTTGTCTTCAAGGTGGGGATCCCAGAGGCAAACGTAGGGCTTCACGCTGAGCGAGGCTGCCCTGTTTGGGACCCTCAGTGAGCACCACCAGTCTGGGAGGGTTCCTCATGCATTGTCTGCCTCTTCCGTCACTTGTTGGATCCTTTCTGAACTTGGGCTGCTGAGTCGATCCCCTCAGTGACGCACACCTGCCTTGTGTACCCTGACATTTGCCGCACCAAACTCCACCAAGGAGTCTGCTTCTGTGAATGGTGTGGGCTTCACTGCTGTGCCAAACTGGGGGTGTCATTTTCTAGACAGAATAAGAGTCTGCTGGGGCTGAGGAGGCCTCTGTTTCTTGCTGCCCAGGACTGACTTGGTACCCAGAGAAACACTGGCTGGGCCTCCAGGGTGCATTTCCAGTTTGGCCGACATAGGGAGGATGGGTCGACACAGGTCAGGAGGGTCAGACAGGAGGGAACAGATCTGAGGCATCTTCTGGTGACAACGAGCCTCCCCTAACCCCTGGCCCGTCAGGCTGACCGGCACTGCTGTGGACCTGAGCAGTTCTAAACCACCCAGATGTTTTTCCTCATGTGCATGTGAATCTGGAAACCGTCCCGGTCCTTTGGCTGGAGGAGCACAGATAGATTCACATCTGGGCAGCAGGCGAGAGATTGACGAAGACCAGAGCTCAGAGTCAGAAAAGCTGGGGTCAAGTCTCGGCCATGACCTTTTTTCTCAGTGTGTCTTTGGCCAGCCCCATGACCTTCCAGGGTCTCAATCTTCTCATCTAGGACACGGGGCCTTTATTCCAGCTCTGCTGAGCTGTTGTGAGGATGGTTGAGCGCGCAGGAGAGTGCTTTGTGAAGCGCTATTTAACGACACTGTTCAAATCCTGTCCCTTTTGTTACTCAGTATTTTCAGGGTGGAGCAGCTGGGCGGATGCAGGTGGGAGCGCCTCCTCCTCCTAGAGAGAGCCTTGGCTTTTTGTCCGAGGGTCAGGGGCCACTGAGGCTGGCTGGGACACAGGAGCCTCAGTGCCAGGCCACCTTGGCAGGACTCCATTCTGTCGATGACCAGAGGACACTGACCTGGCTGCTGGGACAGGGGTTGCAGGGGCTTGGACGGGGGCTGTGCCCTGAGGGCTGAGAGTTCCAGATGCCACCAGGTGACTTCCTTCATGGAGTCTGAATCGGACAAAGTGGTGGACTTTAACTCAAACCATTGTCCAGCTGGCCCCAGAAAGGAGCCAGGAGTACAGCAGGAAGGAATAGGGCTGCAGAACCAAGAAGGGACAGGAGTTGACAGTCTAGCTCCAGGCCTGGTTCACCCCACCCAAAGCCAGCGTGGGACCTGGGCAGTCCTGCAGCGTCCATGTCCTCATCTGTAGGGAGTCTGTATTACTATGTGTCACCTTGACCTGTGTGGGGAGGTGTCACACACACCAAGGAAAAAAAGGCAAAATCATAAAACTCAATTATGAGCCAGGCTTGAGGAAGGGGAAGAAGAGGAGCTGTTCTCAGCCTCAACCCCACACTACGGTGGCGCTAAGCCTACTTCCTCTTTCTGCTCCAGGCATTGGGGTGGGTGGAGCCAGGTGTCCCTCCCTCTGATGCTCCTGAAGTCCTTGTTCCCGGCCCAGGACCTGCAGCCTTAGCTCCTGACCTGCTCTGGTCCAGCTGCAGCTTGACTCAGCTCTGGCCTGGTGGCAGGGTCCTGTTGCTGACAGCCCAGAACCTGGCTGGGCACCCTTCCTCTGTGTCCCACTCATGGCCGACCTCTATTTCAGTCCTCATCATAGGCAGTAGATGATGCTATTGGGGGTCATTCAATTTGGCCTGACACAGTTTGGAGAAACAAAGTGGAATCAGTTGTGTTGGATCCTGACTCTGGTCTCAGTTTCCCCATCTGAAGTATGGGCACATCACCCACTTTGCTGAATTCTTCAAGGGGTTGGGAACAGTGTAGAGTACAGAGTGGGCTTTCACAGAATGGAAACTTTGGTCACTTTCCTGTGACCTTTGCTCCACTGCTTCTAGCTGGGCCTTGTCACTTACCAGCTGGATCTGCCAGGTGGTCACTGTCAAAACTGCCTGGTACTGGCAGGTGGCCAGGCTTCCTCCTGCTCTGGCCCAGCCGTGCCTGCACCCTGAGTTCCCGCCACCCAGGCCTTTTCCTCCCAGCAGCCTCCATCACTTGAGGAAGGTCCCCAGCACTGACTTCCTCTGTGCCTCTTACCTTTCCAGTAAAGGTCTTTCTGCGCCCAGCTGGACCTTTTCTTGCCAGAGGGAAATGGGAACAGTTTGGGCCCAGAGAGTCAGTGGGAGGGAGGGTTTGTTCCTACAGAGCGCCCTTATATATACCTCACTGGGCCATATGGTAGTTTTCTGTTTGGTGTCTTTCTTCTGCCCCTCAGGGACAGTTATCTTTGCATTTCCAGAGACCTATAGTGTCACAAAGAGCAGGTGTGTGTAGCATGTTCTTTGAATGGAAAGCATGCTGGGTTCAAGGTAACTATTTCCCAAAGCTGGTCATAGCATGACTTTATGGTCTTAGCTTTGTGGTGTTGGTTTTGTGGTCTCAGTTTCCTCACCTGTTACTTAGCCCCCCAATCTAGTAATTCTCTGGTTTGAGTCTGGCTGCTCAGCTAGCTTCGGAAGCTGCTTCCTGTGAGTGGAAGAAGGAGTTATCCTAAGCGTGACTGATGAAGTCATGCTGAGGGTAGTGCTTAGCAATCACCTTCCGCAGGGAGAGGCCAGCTGCTGTTCATCTGTTGTGAAGCAGGCAGGGCAGGGGGTGGCTGCTGCATCTCCCCTTGGGGTGATATCAGGATCTTTATTAGGAATCTGCTCACATCTTTCCTCATCCATAGTGGTTGCTGGTCACCTGGTAATCCCATTCACAAGGGAGGAGCCCTTACGGCCTCATCCCCTCTGAAAGGCCCCATCTCTTAGCACTGCCACATTGGCAACACCTGAATTTTGTAGGGGACATGTTTAAACCTTAGTGCTCACCGAGTGCAGGAACCCCAGGGCCTCTGCGTGTGCTGCCGTGATGGAGCCGCCGGCCCCCTTGAAAGAGGCTGCCCTACCAGTGTCTTTAGAAAACCTCCCTGGAACTCGCCCCAGGCCTGGTTCTGCTTCTGGAACAGGGAAAAGAAGGCGCTTGTGTCTCCCACGTGGTAGCCTCCGTTGTTTGAAGCCGGCACCCTACCCCGTCTCTCCTCAGTCTCCTCCTCTGTCAGCGTTTTGGAGCGGGGAGCTTTCAGAGACACTGGCATCTCTTCTCGGACCAGTATGTCCGGGAGAGAAATGAAAACACAGGAATCAATGCATTTTGTTTATTTACCAAAACTCTGACTGCAAACCGCGCTCTCCCTTGGAGAGTCCGTTTGCTGTGGTTCAGCTCTCACCAGCAGCTCTCAGACCGTGCCAACCCCTTCCCCAGGCTACAGGCTCATGTTTTAGATGTCGCCAGCAGTCCTGGGCCCCACACACCAAACACTGAACTCCTCATGCCCTCAGGACCCTCTCCTCCTTTGCCCTCCATGGCCCACTGAGCGCAGTCCTTGGTCCAGCATGTATTTAATGAGCCTCTTCTCCGCACAGGCCTGGGACAGGAGCCCAGTTCTCTAGATGAGAAACTCGGAAGCCACCGCTGCCTCTCCCAAGGGTCGCCAACTTTGAGTGAATCTGTGGCTCTTAATTAACATCCCTGGTGCAGAAGCAGGAAAGGCCACAGAACAAACCTCTCTAACACCGAGCTGGGAAGGCAGCTCTGATTGATTCTGCCGGGAGCTGTGGTGGCTTAGACGCCTAACAGCCGAGCTCCCCAACCAAGAAAATCCTTGCCTTTCAGAGGCTTACAACTCTAGAAATTACATGTACAAGAGTCCTGGGCTTAAAACTCTAGAAATTACAAGTGAAAGCGTCTTGATCTGGGAAGTAGGCGTCGGGTATGTAACTTAGGTGGAGGTTTGATCATGTTTAAGTAAAAACAATACCTTCTAGAAAGATTCCTCCATACCGTATCCATGATCTATAGGTGGGACCACGGTCAGCAGTAGGGGTCTTATCCTTAACCTGGCCGGCGGTGCCAACTGGTCCCTCCTCTGGCTGACTTTTGAGATGCAGTGTCAAAGGCTGAAAGGGATTAAGGGTCTCCTTCCTCAGTGCCATCCTGGAAGGCAGGCTAACAGGTGACTGAGAACATGGACTTCAGAGCAGCCCAGCTTGGGTTCAAATCATGCTCTTTGTCATATTCTAGTGTGTAGAGTGGCCTTTGGCAAGTTACTTAATCCTTCTTAGTCTATTCCTTTCTGTAAAGTAGGACTAATATTGGTGCTGTGGAGGCCACGGTAACTCCATCTTGGATGCTGATCCTTTATATTGACTTGCGATTAACCCAGTTCCGGGAGAGCCTCTAAGATTCCTCCTTCATCTACGGTTTACTGTAAGTCTTGCCCTTAGGCAAATTGCTTCTGAAGCACAAATACCCCTTCCCTATGGTATCTAATCCCTGGGTCTGGGGGGTCGTGGTGCAGGGTCCACCATCTTGTCTTACTGCCGAGGGAGACTGTGGCTTTTGTTCATAAGTACCTATGTTTCTTTCTGAGAAACTGGATATGTCAGCCTCTTTCTTCAGCCTCTCAGCTTCCTCAGCCTTCGAGGGTAGGTTTGCATTCCCACCTGGAACCAGTACCTACCAGAAAGGGTTATTGCACAGATTCAATTAGCTCATATATGCAGAACTCCTTCGCTTAAGTGAGAGTGCGGCTGTCTGGCTGACAGGGTGGGAAGGGTACC